TTTTTTGTCTTCTATAATATTGTGCAGTGGGTACAATGTGACAAGTGTGAGGCTTGGCAGCATCAAATTTGTGCTTTATTTAATGGTAGAAGGAATGATGGTGGGCAAGCCGAGTATACATGCCCCAATTGTTATATTGCTGAGATCGAAAGAGGAGAGCGCAAGCCCTTGCCTCAGAGTGCTGTCCTTGGGGCCAAAGATTTGCCTAGAACAATCCTTAGTGACCACATAGAGCAGCGATTGTTTAGGAGACTGAAACAGGAAAGACTAGAGAGGGCAAAGGTTCAAGGAAAAAGTTATGATGAGGTGATTAATGGATCATGAATACATGATGACAGTTGATTCTATGTTGTATATGATGATCCTTTTGCTACTTTCTTGTTGCTGAAAGGCTTTCAGAATTGCTACAAATTCACACACTTACACTTAAAAAAAAAAAAAGAACAAAAGAAAGAAAGCTATATTTAAATAAGTTAGCTTGTTCCTAGTTAAGTTATATCCTGAGAAACAAAAGCTGTAGAGGTAATATAAATTGAAGCATATTTTGCTGTTGATTGAGCATTTTGCTAGGATTTTTTTTGGGTATAATTAGGAGAATAGTGAAAAATTGGGTAATTGGATCGTACCTACTTTTATGTTTGAAAGGCCAGATGGCTTTGGTGTTTTGCATTTGCTGCCCCATTTCTACGTCACGTAACCACAGCTTAATTATCTATCGGACCAAACTTAGAACTTCTGATTCCTTTGACTAGGGGCAATTAACTTTCTTCTATATGTGGAATTTCTTCTCGGTATTGCTGTTGATTCTTTTTCGGTCTTGTGGAAGAGCATGCTAGTCCTCTCCAGTGGCCTTCAATTGTTATGGACTTCTGCTGCTCTAGGAAATAAGCTTATTTCTTCTTTCATCAATATTTACAGGTTCCTGGGGCTGAGGCACTTGTAATTAGAGTGGTTTCATCAGTTGATAAAAAGCTGGAAGTAAAGCAGCGGTTTCTTGAAATTTTTCAAGAAGAGAATTATCCACCAGAATTTCCATATAAATCAAAGGTTTGAAGGATATAGATCAAGTGTAATACGTGCTTGTATGCTGAAAATGGCACTTTAATTGTAATTATGAGATGCTTATAAGTTATCGTTTTCTCTTTTAGGTGATTTTGTTGTTTCAGAAGATAGAAGGGGTAGAAGTATGCTTGTTTGGCATGTATGTTCAAGAATTCGGATCAGAAAGTGCATTCCCAAATCAGCGCCGAGTTTATCTGTCGTATCTAGATTCAGTCAAGTATTTCCGGCCTGAGGTTAAAGCAGTCACTGGAGAGGCTCTCCGTACATTTGTTTACCATGAAATTCTTGTAAGTCTAAACTCTTACTGAATTCTGTTTAGTGATATTATTTTCATGATTTCCATTTTACATATAGTATCAGTGATCTATTTAGTTGAGTTCATTTGTCTGACTTACTGGATTCTAAACCTTAATTATCCAGATTGGATACCTTGAATATTGCAAGAAACGTGGTTTTACAAGTTGCTATATATGGGCTTGCCCTCCACTAAAGGGTGAAGATTATATCTTGTATTGCCATCCAGAAATTCAGAAAACACCTAAATCAGATAAGCTGCGAGAATGGTGAGGCAAATAGTTGTCAAAATACTTTTTTAAGTACTTATTTTGCATTTTTTTTATTAATTCATTTTGTTAATTTCCCTTATATGCATGAATGCTGTTTCAGGTATTTATCAATGCTAAGGAAAGCTTCCAAGGAAAACATTGTAGTTGATCTCACTAATTTATACGATCATTTTTTTGTAACTACTGGTGAATGTAAGGCCAAGGTAACAGCAGCTAGGCTGCCATATTTTGATGGTGATTACTGGCCTGGGGCTGCTGAAGATCTAATTAATCAGCTTCGTCAAGAAGAAGATGGCAGAAAGCTAAACAAAAAAGGAACTACCAAAAAGACTATAACAAAGAGGGCTTTAAAAGCATCTGGTCAGTCTGATCTTTCTGCTAATGCATCAAAGGATGTGCTACTGATGCATAAAGTAATTTCCTTTCTTCCAGAACTTTCAGCTTTTTTTTTTATCCTCTATGATTTCATTCAGTTTAAAGATCGTAGATGTGGTAAATTACAATTCTTGCTGTCTTAGAGTTGAGATTTTGTTAAAATAATGACCCAAGGGACTTTAACCGGTTATATGACTCTTTCCCCTCCTTTTCTCTTCAATTCAGCTTGGTGAGACCATTTGCCCAATGAAGGAAGATTTTATCATGGTTCACTTGCAGCATTGTTGCGCTCATTGTTGTATCCTGATGGTATCTGGAAACCGCTGGGCCTGCAACCAGTGCAAAAACTTTCAGCTTTGTGATAAGTAAGATTGCTACTCTTTTTGGCTGTGTTTTATTCTCTTGCATAATTTCTCTCTCTCTCTC